GAAGTATTATAGTTCGTCGTTCGTAATGTAGTTTTGGTGAATGGGTTAGCTGGGGCCAACTTTATTAAAAGGTGGCAACGCATCTGCAAATGGTGTCGCAAATGTCATGTCTGTAATGGGCGGCTCTTATCACTTAAGATCAGATGAACTGCCACTTTATTCATGTCAATTATTTTCGGTAATGAGCGGAAAAGCAAAATACTCGTGACACACTCTAACTGGAAATGAACACGAACACCTGCATCGCACTGAATCCTCGATATGTTTTTGCGTTAACCCTTTTAAATCTGGAAGGTTTTATGTTGTCACTTACTTATTTAAGCTGTCAAGTTTCTTTGCGTTTGAGGTAAACAAAATTTTGAATTCCTCTCTGTTGTGTTATTAAAACGGCTTGTAGGATGACAACTACTTTATTTTATAATTACCTCAACACTATCCAGCACCACACCAGCTATCTCAAATCCAAGCTTAAAATAATACTTACAGATTTATATATTAAAAGCAATACTCGTGCCCCTGTCGAAGACTAGTGTTTCCATTAAAGTAACAGCCTATAAATGCCCCACTGCTGGGCAAAGGTGTCCTCTGTAGAGAGGGTATCAAGGCATAGTCCAACACGCGATCCCACTGCGGATTGGCGGACTTCACATATTTTCGAAATATTTCTTTTTATTATTATTTCGAAAATATGTAGGTTTCCTCACCACCCTTAGGTCAAAATTGATTAGATTTCCTGTTAATAGCTCAAATTTGGATTTCCCCTTCGCTTCTAATGTACAGGGCGTGTGCTGAAATATCTTCAGCCGTAGCATTGATGACTTGCCAACCGCCAGATCGGTTTGCGTAGCACTACATCGATGAAATGTCGGAATGTCTTGCTCGGATAGGCTGTACAGGGGGATCAACTTTTCCTCATAATTAATTCGAAGACCCGATTTGAAGACCCGATTGACGTAGTGGTTCGATCCCCACCACTGGAAAAATATTGTGTGACGAACATAGTGTTTTTCCAGTGTCTGGATGTTTATAAATTATGAAGGTATAGTATGTATTTATTTACAAAATAAAATTATATATTAGTTTGTTTATCAGTTACTGAGTACGCATAATACAAGCGTTGCTTAGTTTGGGACTAGAAAACGTTGTGTTTCGAAAAAATCGACGGACCTTACCTACGTACATGAAGACGTCCTGTCAAATACAGAGGTTTACAGGAGAGCGTTATTTATGTTTAAAGCATTCTGGAAATAATTTGATGTACAATTAATAAAAACTTTTTTCTATAATGTTTTATTAGCTCTTTATATGTATTTATACATATTTTCTTTTTATATATTTTCTTGGGTTAGCTGATAGATGGCTGTTTCTACTTATAAAAAAATCAACAAAAGCTATTGCGTTGTTTTTTTTTTTTTTTTTGCTAACGTTAAGTCCACTATTCATGAACTATCAATTTTTCAATGACGTTAACGTGTTATACTTAATCCGAACTTTCAGACATAATATAGAACTCTGGGACGATAAAAAATATTATTTACATTTAAAAAGCTCTGTGAAGCAGGTTATTAATAAAACGAATTGGGACACGCTGTATTTTAAGAGGAATGCCACGCGCCGTGCAGTACGTCAATATCGCATGCCGGGAAATGTTGGGCTGCCAAGGATGACATCTGGTTAAGCAATCCCGATTGCTTTAGCGCATCATAAATCGAAATAATTCCATCAATGGCTATGAATTACCGGCACACCGTCAGTGCTTCATCGAACGTTAATAAATAGACAAAATTAAACGATAACGGCCTACGAAAATATGTGCGACTTCACTAAGGAACTCTGTGATTGATATGAATACTATATGTAATTGATAAGTATGTAATTGATAACATTCAAAATGAATATGTAATTGATCTGATACTTTTGAAAAAGAGCAACTGTTGAGTTTCTTGCCGGTATCTTCTCAACAGAAACTGCTTTCCGATCCGGTGGTACCTTACCAACCTATATGTATAATTTTTGATGTAAAATTTGACGTATCATTAGGACGCGCTCAAGCGTCTGTTCGAATAAATATATTTTTGATTTGATTTTTGAGCTGGTTTTTTTCTCGCTCAAAGGTTAAGTATAACGTTCAGCGAGAAAATGCAGCTAGCGTTCTTGGCACCATGCCGCGTGGATTAGGTTTATTAGATAATATGTAATTTTAGACAGATTTAATCTTGTAAAATTAGATCAATAAAGTTTATAAAAATTAAAAAAAAAATTATGAATGACTATGGCCAAGTTCGAGCACATTACATAACCGCTTCTGCTTAAAAGCCTCATATTAGACAGAATAGCAGTAAAACTGTTAACACTTTAGACTTTATTCTGAATAGTGCATAACCGAAATCAAAATATCTAGTTGTCAATAGAACGTCCATGAGTGGCAATCCTCACTCACTGTTTTGCCATCATTCAAATAAGTTAGCAATTTGAAAAATACATTAAGTCAGAAAGAGAGTACTCGTAACACATATAAGACATATTATGTAATAAATCACACTTAGTCTTTGTAGCACACACTTATTAATTAACAATAAAAAAAACCTTAATTGTTTGTATACTCCAGTCTCAAAGACCATAACTTTGCTGTTATCAACATTAAGTTAATCAGTGACTTGAAGCGTAAGCTTTATACGGCTACGGCCTTCGTAGGCCAAACACAGACACACTCAGGAGTACACTATCATCAGCATAACTAATATAATAACTAATGACAATTAAAAGTGATTTACATAAATATGCAAAGTTAGTGGTTTACGTATCACTCCATCATCAGCATCACCGTTCAAACTGTTCGTGTCCACTGCCGAACTTAGACGTTCCCTGCACACTGTCACGGAGCACAACCAAGAGCCATCTAATCCGTCGATACGCAGACATTTGCATTGTCACTCTATCCAGTTGGGGTCTTCCTCTAATATTTAATACTGCACTAATCTCTCTCATTACTTTATCTGAATTCTAGATTAAGATAGATATCTCCACTGATGTCTTAAAGAAAGTTTCAAATTAATACAAACTATTAAAGAAAAGGGCTAAAGTTTAATAAGAGCTGCGCGTCAATTTATATAAGCAGCTGAAGATGTCCAATTCATATAAATGGCCCGGATTAATTTTTATTGCGACTACAGGAAAACAAAACACATTTACATTGTAAAAGTAAAGTAAAGTAACAGCCTATACATGTCCCACTGCTGGGCAAAGGCCTCCTCTATATAGAGGGTATCAGGGCATAGTCCACCATGCGGCCCCACTGCGGATTCGCGGACTTCACATATCTTCGAAATTTTTTTTTTTTTCGTTATTATTTCGAAAATATACAGGTTTACTCACGATGTTTTCCTTCACCGCGGAGCACGTGATAAGACAGCACTTAAAGTTAAAAACTTCATTGGTGCCGGCACCGGGATCGAACTCAGGTTGCTCGAGTATATTGAATTAAAGGCGAGCGCCCGGACACTGAGCTATCACGGCTTTACTATTATTTACATTGTAGTCTCATCATTTATTTGTTATTTATCATTTATTTTTTATTTAGTGGTTGTGTATTTTACAATATACATTATAACGCAATATTTTGCGCGCTGTAAGTACGTCGGAATCTTTAAATGCTACACATACGGCTGTGAACTAAAAGAAACCGCTTCAGATTAACCTCGGCGTATGCAAATTGTATTAGTAAAAGAAAATATCGCGCACTCAAAGGATCCCTTTGAAGCTTGTGGGTGCGCCTCTTGCTAACTGAGCCGCTCTGGTAATTAATCAAAGAACTTAAGGTATGTGGCAGAAGGTACCTTTTGATATAAAATAGTAGCTAATCTACAGACGGTATCTAATGGTAAGGTCTGAGTGTATTTTTATGTATTAAATTGATTTTAAATAAAGGATGTAGCTACAACTAAAGTATTGTGAAAAAGTCCTGTACAGACAAATATAATGTTGTCCACAGTTAGCTAACGGCTGCTAATGGGTCATTAACAGCTTAAAATATAAAACTTAAGAGCTAATTTATCAAAGTATATTGAACGCTACGAAGACAAAGCTTTGTGCTTCAAGCTGATCGAAGAAAAAAAAGATATAGTTTGGGTGCGCAGTTAATGGACCTGAGACTAAAGAGAAATGGTATTTGGGGAAAAAATACCCTGATAGTCTTTTTTTCTGATGAAAAAAGAATTACCACGGAGGTGGGATACAATAAGCAAAATGATAAGGCCCACAACATTGAAGAAGCGAGTAGCCGCATTCCGCGTGTCCAGCGAGGTCACTTTCCGTCCGTCCTTACAATAAGCCGTATTATTATTGTTTAACATAATAAATTCAAATATCATTCATATTAAAATAGAAGAACATATATATGATGACTCCGTGGCGCAGATGCCAATGTATTGGCTTCAGCGTCGGGGGTCGTGGGTTCGATTCCCACACGGGAAAACTATTTGTGCGACCCATAGATTAGTTGTTTCGCATCTGGGTGTTTGTCCTCTTGCAATTTATGTTTGTAATCACACAGGATAATGTTTTTTTAAAAAGAAAGAAATAAAAAACAAAAAAAAATACCTTTTACTATCTTTTACCTATTAACAATGTTAAAATGCACTTAAATTTATCATTAATGATCGTATTCGTAAGACATTCTTTCTCATTGCTGATGTTATCGAGATAACAATTAAATCCTGAAGGTTTATTAATTACGCATTTCAATCGATAAAATCGAAATTAAATATATCAAAAAAAATCGAGTATGAAAGAAAAATTACAAGCAAAGATAAAACTGTTTACTTTATTATATACAAATCATGATAAAGAACTTGAGTTATCTAGTGATTATTATTCCTTACCTAAATAGGTAGAGATTGTATTAACTTCTTAATTGAAACTGATACCCAATCGGAAAAAAATATTGATTTAACACAATACAAATAATTAAATTATCCGCAAAATTAAAAATCTTCGTTGACATGAGCAGAATTATATTTCTTTTGGTGTTTTGTTTTCATCTAACCTTAGGCAATCTTGGTACGTACATTTCGCTTTATTTTATTTATATAGTCATGATCGATTGAATAATAATGAATGGTATTACAAACTATTTATTCACTGACTTGGTTAAAACTGTTGCTAAGGTTTTTGTATATTTGGCAGAATCAATTCGCTCCTGCGTGGAGTATATGTGCGAATTAGTTTTTATAAGTGATACAGATACATGGGTGATTGCCTTTTTTAATTTGTTTTTGTTTTTAGTGAACAATGTACGCCTTGTCGAACCCATTCCATATATGATCAACGTTATCACAGAGACCGTTCAACGAGTCGAGGACATGGAATGGTGCAATCTGAAAATACCCGATTCCTCCGTTGATTTGTAGTAAGCGTTTTATAACTAACATATTGTAATTATAGTCAAAGGTAATTTGTAATAATCAAGAACAGTTATCGAATAAGTTATTTCAGTTACCAGTTATTATTATCATACTCCGTATTTAAAGTAAATAATGAAATCAAATTCAATATCCTCATATTGAAATACTGTGATTCTCTATTAACAGTGAAATTGTATTCGGCGAGTACATCAAAGGGACAGTGGCGTACAAGAATGGTTTTGTAGTATCAATAAGGCACTTAGATATACTACAAAATAGCTTGGGCCAAGTCTGGAGGTTCCATAGAGACAGGAATACTACTACGGTCGAGATAACAGGCACTTTGCGGATGAGCGATGTGACCCTTGGCTTCGATGTGGAGGCAGCCTTGACTGGAGGTGTCCAGCGCTATACGGCTGAGCTTGTCGTGCCCACAATATCGTTTGATATGAGAGTACGGTATTTAGTAACGCAAATATTATGCTTGATATTTTTATTATTTATTGTATTGAATTGTCTGCGCCAGGCAGGATAGAAGCAAATGTCGACAAGTTACATATGGTCACGATCCTCATTAGTGAGGGAACGACGAAGAAGGAGAAGTATCGAGCAGTTCTTGAGATCATTATCAGCACCATCATACCTTTACCCCACAGCGATTGGTGGCATCAGCGGAACATGTGCATCAAGTCCAGACTTGGTGTGGCAGCTGTTGAGACGATTAGTTTCATCAATTAACAATAAAAGAAAACGTTTTATATACCTTACCAGTCTAGTACCAAAGTTAAACAGACTCAGAAAAATTATCATGTGTCAGTCAAAATACATTAATAATCACTCAGAAGTAGAGAATAAAACATCATAAATGTTATTTTCTTGCTTTAACTCCAATCATTGTTTACAGGTCATTAGAGATATGTTCACAGACGTGATCAACGTGACAGTTACGCCTACGGTCGCAAGGACGGTCAATAAGATGGTTTTCATGAGAACTAATCCCTTAACAGATGTCTATGCTAATCTGGTAAGAAATTTTGTTGATGTAAAAACATTAGGAGGTAATATATTTATACAGACATCTACAAACTTGGCTCTATATTATTTTTCTTTTATTTTGTTAACTACCATAGTAGTTCATTTTGTTTCCTTTCAGTCTTATCTTCCAACTTTTTTTTCTGTTGGGTGAGGTGTTTGTTTTTAAACCCATTGTTCTAAAAGGTTGGAAATACATCTGCAACACGTTTGGTATTATAACATCAAGACGTATGGTCTACTGTTAACTTGAAAATTTTTAACTAAAAAACGAATGAAATGGAAATGCATGATGTCTAAAATATTACATTTTAGATATCATGCATTTCCATTTTGTACTTAGGTTCCTTAATGATAGTTTTGTTTTATTTAGTTCAAATAAATACAAGAAATCACTACAATCTCACAAGTAAATCAAGTACCTATTCTTTGTTGCAGTACGATATAAATTTAGTAACGGCTGGTGTTACGTTATGGGCTTCGGAGTTCCTACAACCGTTTGCCTCTAACGTCGTCGAGAACGTGTTCCCGTATCCGAATATTTGTTACAACTGTCCAGTGTAAATCGAACTTGTTATGAATCATTAAACTTTAAATAAGATTTTTTTCGCCTCTTATTTATTTCATAATATTTATCTCCCTGAATACTGAGTTTCTTAGATTGACTTCAACGTGGGCTTTATACTTCTCTTCTCATACAAACAATCTTCTTTTAAATTATATATGGGAATAGTACTTGAATGGCTGGAAACTTATTGTAGATAGACTTGTTGTAGACCACAAAAAGAGTGATAAACAAATATAATACTGTTTCAAGCAAAAAAAGAGATGTAAAAAAATACAAATGGAGATAAACAAATGCTTTTAATTTAGAATACTTAAATCTATAGTTTTGAAGCTAAATTTATTTTGTACTAGCTGTGCCCACAACTTCGTCCGCGTGGAATTTTAAGTAAAAAAAAAAACTAAAATAAAAGTAGCCTAAGTTACTCCTTATTACATCAGCTATCTGCCAGTGAAAGTCCCGTCCTAATCGATCCAGCTGTTTCAGAGATTAGCCGGAACAAACAGACCGACAGACAAAAATTGTAAAAAATGTTATTTTGGTATATGTACCGTGTATACATCCATATGCATTTAGTAAAAAGCGGTTATTTTGATATTATAAACAGACCCTCCAATTTTATTTATCTGTATAGATTGAAATATTTTGGGTTCTAGTGAAAAGTCACCGTTTTGTGGCATTATACGGCAAATAAGTTAAGTACGTTTATAAACATGTTTATAGCAAACCTGTCCATCGACAGCCACGACCACTATGCCAAGAGTGTCCGATTAAGATTAGGTATATGACTTACAGACCTTAACAGCTAAATAAATTTCCAAATTCACTAATCCATAAGAACGTGAATAAACACAGATTTTACAAAACAGTTCTACGTCTTTACAGTATACTTATCTTATCTGTATTATTTCTTTAACACTTTGATTATTATAATTAAGATATCGGGACAATATCATTTTACCCGTCTAGTTTTGCTTTGAACAAATAGTTTACCTTTGGTGTTTTAATTTTTTTATTTGCGGGAAAAAATGAATTTGTTGTGCATTCTGTTAACTCTCTTTGCAACATTTAAGAGTATAGCATCCGTTTCAAGTTTAAGGGCGAGTAAGTGAAAACTCACTTTAAAATATACTCCTAGCATCTACATCATTAGTCAAGACTGGATTTGTCCAAGGCCTACCCCAACATAATTTACTTAACCCATGTTTTGCCAGTTTTCTTCCATACATTTATATTTCCTCGTAACACAATCGAGTTTATGCTACGATTATATAGTTCACATAATAAAGCACATAGTGTAAGAGGCAACATTTATTGACAACTATTGCACTCTAACAATTAGTATTTAAACTTGCTATATACAAAACATTTATAATTTTAAATCATCATCATCATTTGAGCCTGTTAGAGCCCACTCTCGTGGCAGTCTATGGGGAGGCATTGGCCTCTAAAGTATGATCTTGAGCCACCTGTATCCATCGATTTCCCGCAGCACATTTGCACAGGTCGTCACTCCATCGAGCGGGGAGTCGTTCTACACTTTAATTTCTGGATAACATAACATCTCAAAAACCTCTTCCAAAGTACATAGTACCAAGAATAATTTCTGCATTTCCTCACTGAATAGTTTTGCTTAAGCTTTGAGCAACATAAGATTCAGTAGCGATAGGTCTATGGTGGAACTCTGTCAAAACATGGCCCTCACTTTTCAACAGCAAATAGCAAAAATCCATACTTCCATACTATAATATTATAAATGCGAAAATAACTCTGTCTGTCTGTCTTGCTTTCACGCCAAAACTACAGAATCGATTTAAATTAAATTTGGTACATAGATAGTCTAAAGCCTTTGAAAGGACATAGGCTATTTTTTAATTGGAAAAAAGTGTTCTTAATGGTTGAAAGGTTAAAGAAAGCGAGCGAAGTCACAGGCGAAAAGCTAGTACATAATATTGGTCTCACTCCCACGAAGTCAAAGTCAAGTCCTCGGATCTTATACCATTATGACGGAAAATGCCACAGGGCTCTAAAATTAAAGGAAAGTTTATGACCACAAAAATCCTGCGGATGACTTCGTTCAGGGAAACGTGGTGGGAGAAAGTGCAACACTTTTTTGATATCAAAGTCCGTGAATTTGTCTAGGTTGATTTTCCTTACAACAATACCACCAAATCGAATTGATAACGTAGATTGAGTCCAGTTTAAATCATTAAGAGAATATTTTACAATTTTTTGTACAACTGTTTTAAGATTTAATTCAATTTAGTTCAAAAAGGCAAAGGATTTCTAAAATAGACTTTAGCAAAATAGGACGTCAATTTACGAATAAGAATACAATGCCATACAATCGCAATATGCGAATTCAGTAAGAACATTTTATTAACGTCAGGTAAAAAAAATGTTTTATCTTTAATTTCAAAAGAGATTCCAAAGTTAATTAACAAAGAACCACCTAGAGTTAAAATTTTAGGTAAAGGTAATTTTTTTCGCAAGTAGTAATATTGTCATGATAAAATATTTCACATTTGTACATACATACAAATGTGAAATATTTTTTCATAATATTAAATTATAATTTTAAAATATTGGTCTCGATTTGAATACATATTCAAATCGAGACCGATATTTTAAATTTTCTTTATAATTTCGACAAGATCACTTTGCACGTCGTGAACTTTAACCTCCTAATTTACTATGATCTAGGCAACGGACATTAAGTTTTAATTTCAATTTTAAAGAAATTGGATGAAGTGCTAAACCACGCTGGTCCTGGCAGATCTTGCTGACGTCCACAACAGAATCTATAACATAATCCTCAAAAATAAATTTGTTTTCTTACTATTATATTTCCAAATACAATGATAAATTCCATTCTTTTTAACAATAACGTAGATTCCTTAAGATAAGCAGTATAATATAATAAAGTATTTACGCTTTAATTTATAAGATAATAAGATAATTATAAGATAATAATAAATGTATATATAATAATAAAAGAAATACATATATACAAACGCTTTTTTATTAATTTCTTTTTACAGCAAGATTACCGCGTTTGATCGGAGGGAATGAATATATTATAGAACTCATGCAAAATGCGGTGTACGAAATGGAGGAGTATGGATGGTGGAATTTTAAGTTGTTTGACGTCTCCCAGGTTCTTGAGTAAGAAATTTTCTGTGCACTAGAATTGTGTAAAATATTCATTTAAAGGCGAAGATTCACCAATGAAAATGTGTATTGTCCATTAGCATTAGATTCCAGGATATAAAAAAAATCTATACCTAAAACAAAAACTCACACATGCTATGATTTTAATTCCGGAAAAAAGCAATCGAATATCTTGATAAAAAAGCTTAAATTTTGTAATGTATTTAAGAATCTAGATTGTTGCTACAGCTGGAAAATTCTTCAATCAATTTTAAACAATTTATAATTACTTTATTTTAAATAAAACTTTATTTATTCGTTTAATCGACTTTGAATCATAAGATATGCGGTTACATATCAATGCCTTAACTGAGAAATTTCCGAAATTTTACGTTTTCCTCAGAGTACCGTAGGCGGTGACTCACTCTCAGTATTTACCGAACATGCATTATGCCTGTTGTAATAGGCCCATAGAGTGCCTATGGCCAACAATAAACATACCATTGATTGCTCCTTCACAATAAAGGAAAGTAAGGTAACAAGCCTATCCCACTGCTAAATAGAGGTCTTCTCAGTACAGAGTCGCGTAGGGCGGAGACAAACGCGTGATCCCAATATGGATTGGCAGACTTTATACAACTTCGTAATAATTCACTACGATTTCCTACACAGCCTAGCACACTATTTCATTGCGACAGGATTTTAAGTAAAATAAAAGTGCGCGCCTCGACACTGCATAATCATAGTTATGTTTGTACACTCCCTTTGAAATGAAAGCTAATCTGTTCTGCTGGTTTCCACAAGCTGTATATCACGAGCTATATAACGTCATATCTTATAATCGACAACTTCTTGCATGTTCATTTCAATTTCAGCGAGCGAATGTACAACTGGCACGTGTCCGGTACAGTCAACTACACAAACGGTTTCGTAGTGTCCATAGAAAAGATAGACCTCCAGAATCTATTCCACTCGGTAACAACAAGGACAGTCAACGACACCGTAGAGTGGAGCGCCATGGTTCGAAGTAACCTGAACCTGAGGGACGTTAGAGTAGGCTTTGACGTCACCGTCAACCTGGACGGGAAGCCCGAACAGAAGTACACCGGCGTCTTCACACATTCGTTGATAACAATCCAATGTTTAGTAAGTACAGCGCTCAGATAACCAGAGTAGAGAGTAACAGCCTATACATGTCCCACTGCTAGGCAAAGGCCTCTCTATATAGAGGGTATCAGGGCATAGTCCACCACGCGGCCCCACTGCGGATTGGCGGACTTCACATATCTTCGAAATATTTTTTTTTTGTTATTATTTCCTTCATCACGGGGCACGTGATAAGATAGCTCAGATAACTATGGCAGCTAATTTGGATGATCATGACTGTGGACTCTTCTAACACAACCATGACACCATTATAATGTTGATTTGAAATATTAAAAAAAAATATTTCAAATCAAGAGTTATATTTTGACATACAGAGGTAAATTTAATAAAATGAAAAAGAACAGTTTGATTTCATTTTGATATTTTACATTTAAAATTAAGTGCATATAGATATAGATAGTGCACAGGATAGGTTTTTTGTGGGGAGGATATAAAAAAAAAGAATCTGCGCAGTGACCATGAACGTTGTAAACTTTTCGAAACCTCAAGAATTTGAAATAAAAAAAGCGAACAAATCAGTAAAATAGTATCAACGGTGTGACTTTTCACAGGTCTTCAAGAATTTGAACTCCAACCAATATGAGGTCTCCAGTCAAGTCCTTAGTTTGTCTGCGGGATCTGGGGTTAGGATGATCTATCTGCCAGAAAACCACGTCACGCAGGTTGTTTCTAGACGGGTGAGTTTTTAACTTTTTTTTATGTGAAAAGTTGCCAAGCGAGCAGACGGTTCACCTGACGTTAAGTGAATACAGCCGAGGGTTGCAGATGCGTTGACAACCCGGACGAGCCTGCCCATTCGTGCAACAGCTGAGGCTGCTGCGTGGCCCTACCACCGTGATAGTTGTCACCTATTTACGTTAAGCGTAACAATTTTTCTTTAGTAGTGATTATTCTACTATGATTAAAGAACTATGAATAATACACAAGAATAATGGCCTGAAGTACAATATTATACTGACGGTGATTTTTTTTTTAATTTTCAGTATGTTCCAAGCAATAACTGGAACAGCATAAGGAATTGGTGCAACGAAATAATATCACCAATTCTTTTGAAATCTGCAGAGAAGATTGACTTTCCGAGAGTGTGCTTTGGATGCTAAAAATAACATGAGTCTGAAAATTATTAAGAATATCGCATAAGCCTCAGTAAGCAACGCATTTCCATTCATTTATTGTGACGAAAAAGAAACTAAATACTGGTTTATTGTCCCAACAATGTTTAATTAATTTTAACAAAGTCTTTAAATTATATCAAGGCGTTTTATTCGCATTTAGTTAAACGCTATCTGTTGGATTTATGTAAAACTATTAAGGCGCTACCTTCGGAAAACGGCTCGGACATCTACTAATGTGTTTATCCAGTTTCATCCCTTTTTAGGCCCTTAACACCAGATGGCGCTTTTATCATTCGTTTATTTCAACTATTGATAAGTATTAATTAGCTTGATTTATTAATATTCAACAATATAACTGTCATATCGTATATAAGGTTTAAGACATTTGTTTTCTCAAAAGATTTACACCAAATCACTTACAGCGAAAATACAAATACTTATATTATGTAGCACAACAAAAAAAAATTATTTTAATATGTTATATCTTATATATTTTATACCAGATAGGTACAACATTAATACGATGCTGTGGATGAGTTTTATAGCTTTTAAAATTTTTAGCTTTTCTTGTTAAACAGTTACAAGGTCCAAAATTTGACTACTGCATTAATGAATAATATCACAGTATCAATAAGTGGGAATATGGTATAAAACTTTTTTATAGAAACTTTGGCTAGCTGCAATACTTACAAAATAGTTAAAATCGGTGCTTAACTTATGGTTCTTACTTGATGGTTCTGTCTGTATTTCACAATTGTTACTCCGTAACCTACTGATATATTTATTTATTATGTTATAAATGCAGGTTATCATATAAGTGTACGTTATATACATATCGGTACAATAGTAATCTCACCAATCTAACATTTTGGTAGTTTTGACACGTACGACGGCAAGTGTACTGACGTTTATATTTCCTTGCAGTACACTCTGTGGCAAAATATTGTATCTGTGGCTTTAAAAACACTAAATATATTTCTAATATTTTTTTTTAGAGTAATTGCACATAATGAGATTTCTACAGAGCTGAACTAACCAATGTGATTTATCAACTAGTCAAAGTTCCAGATTGAATTAACTGTAGTGCATATTATTAATATACTCACAAAAACCACAATCGTCAACGAGTCTATCTGCGTAGGTAAAATACTTTACCTTGGTTCAGAAAATAATTATAATCCCAAAAAGCCACATGATCAACTAGTCTTAAGTGGCAGATTGAATCTTTACTTGGCGCAAAAAGACACTCAAAATATGGAAAGCCGCAATGATTAATAACTGGTGCTGCTGGTGCTACTGGGGCCGAAGCTGCTGCCTCGGCTGTTGCACGAATGGGCAGGCCCGTCCGGGTAAGTACCACGACCTCACGGAAGAGCGGCGTAAAGTGGAAGTATGACAAATACTTTCGCGTTTCGTCTGGTGAGCGAGGTAGCCGGAGCCCAATTTTCAAAAGGTTGAAAAACTTAAGTAGGACTGCGCACACTCCTGTTAATGAAGCGTAACCGTGTTGTAAAGTTATACCGATTATAATCCAGTGAAATACCTGCCTACCTTTTGTTCGACGAACTACCTCCCTCATACGCCACGCTCGGAGTTTTATCAACTACAAATAGTGGGAGAGGGAACCTCAGCGTCGCATACTTGTCTACACGACTCCGACGATATTCCCTTACGAGCACCCTAGTGGGCGCTCCCAAAAACTATACTATAAGAGACTTATCTAAGAGTTACAATTTCAATAACATGAAAAGTCTCCATTAAAACGCTGATTTGCAGCATACTTTTTTCATATTAAAACCTACCTCCTCAACAATTACACATTTGCAGATTGGTAAGTTTACTTCTAACCCGACGCAAGCAAATGTTCGAATGCAACTCTAATTAGCAATATTTCTGAATAATTCGGAAGTGCTCTGGCGCGAAAAGAGTACCTATTTTCTTTGTTTGCGTCAATATTGCAAGTCTTAGAAATAATAATATGTAAATATATTTGAATATCTTCTTCTGTCACTCATCATCGAAAAATTTTCGACATCTTTTCTATAAAAAAATAATTTAAGCTCAGCGCTTGACTAAGTACGTAATAGCTGGATCGTTAGTAATAACATAATAACGGTAATAATGTTATCAAAGTGTTTTTGGCACGGGGATGATACCTTCACAAAGAAACAAACATTTGGAAATAATTTTAGCGGCATTTTATTACAACGATCTCATTCCCGTATCGCACTTTACAACCTTTACAATAATACATTCGCATCTGATAATCTCTCAATAAAACATTCAAAAAAATTATTACACTCTTTAACATTATTTACAAAAATACATATTTACAGCACGACTTCCTTCACTAACACAATAAATTAAATAGGGACGTGTCTTCTACCGTCTCTTTTTAAGGTCCATAAACTACTTTATGCTAGGGCGGGCGACGTGTGGCATCACAGTGACAGCGGACACAGATAATAAACACTACATTAAAATTATTACTACGTCACAGGCCGAAAACGTACGGTAAAAAAGCGTAGAAAAGACAAACAAATATAAAAATTAAATCGCTGAACTATTACATTCCGAAGTTATAGAACATGTAATAAAATGATTTTTGTTTATAAACATTCTATGTAGCGCTCGTAGTTCGGCGCCCGTTTGTCCTGTCAGCGTGCTTCACATCAAATATATCGTCGGTTCACGGGTGAAACTCGCTAAGAAATAACTCATTAGGTAAGAAACTCACTAAGAACAGTAAAAAAAGTACAGTAACTGTACTGGAACAGTAAAGAACAGCAACTAAGAGTCAAAAACTCACTGATTTCAGAAATAATTAAGTTAAAATGATTCGTTTAATAATTGTTAAATTCTTAAATCGACCCATTCCATTATTCATATTATAAAACTACCAGTGTTATAAACTGATGCCACAATAAAAATTACATAGAACATGAGAATATATTTTAAAGGAACAATAAAATCTCACATGTAAAGCATGCACCATAGATAATTTAAAAGAAAAACTTATTGTAGTAGTTTTCTTTAAGAAAGTCAGCATAAAATTGTGTTTTTCTAACTTTGTTCTTTCGAAAGTAACATTCAGGATACATTGTTTGTATGGTCAAAAGGTAGCTTAATGATATGCAAAGCCTATTAGTAGATATAATTATTTATAAAGCACTCGAAACGAATGGACGGATTTGAATTGAATTTGAAATGATGTCATTACGTATGTCATGGTAATAGAAAACTGATGTAACAGTACGAGAGCCAGCAACTTCGGGAAAACAAGAATTTCAGGTTTCGTGATATGCTATCGGCTCACTCTGTCAACACCTGTCCGAAATGTGCTTAGCGAACTCAACCCGTCAACCGACGATGCACTCGGCGCGTTTCCACGTCGAGCCGTACTACACTAGTATCACGCGGTCACACCAGCACCGTGAGGCGCTCGGGGGGCGGGTGCCGGGAAGGGGGGGGCTCCGGGGGCGGCAGCGATCGCTTCGTCAGCTCCTTGTCGCGCGGCGGCGTGTTGTTCCTCGCGTCGGCGTTCTGCGCCTTGTAGAGGGAGTGGGCACGCGGCAGCTCGTCAGCTGGTCGCTCCTCACGGATTGGGTTCGCGTAGCGGCGCAGGTTCTCCTCGTTCTGCAGGTTGTTCGACTTCTCCTCGTCGCGGCGCCTCAGATGCTCCGCCGCGGCGGCAGTGGCGGCGCGCCGCCGGCAGAGGTAGAGCGAGACGGCTGCCCCGGAAGCGGCTAGCAGCAGCGAGACTACCGCGGCGAGGGCGATCAGAGCGGCCGACGGTGAGGGGCTCGCTTCCGCTAACGGGGTGGGTGAGGAGTGCACCACTCGAAGGCGCAGTGCGGCGCCGAGGAGCGCGTGCTGGGCAAGACGCCGGCGTGAAACCAGCTCGCTCAGAGCGCGAACAGCGGCCGCCAAGGCCCCAGCCCCGGTTTCGGAAGCCGTGTCGTCAGCCCCCTCCTCTTCGCCGGCCCACTGTATGCCCACAGATTAACACATGTGTGAAGATAAGTAGGTATAAAGGTTATACATATATAAAATGGTCAAAAGATGTTATTTGATTTCAACAATTTTTATTGGACATCGTCTGGCAGAAAACGTTGTAGAAAAAGAGAGCTGAAGCTTAGAAGAAACAAACGCAGATAAATGTAATGAAGTGGTTAAAGACGTAAATCGTATTTTTAAAAATAGAAATTGAACGATGACCCTTGTGAACCACAACAGAACAACGGAGTGTGAACTATTAGGGGTTACTGTTTTATATTGTACTAACTTACTTATCAGTTTTTAAATCGGCTTTAAACGCAGTTGGTTAATTATGTCATAAAGTGTATATCATGGCATGTGTAATTAAGTTTACATTGGTTCGAATTTTTTTTTAACATTGTCATAATGTTGTAAATCACACTCCTTTTATAGGTAAATTGTGTAAACATTATACATATTGGTATTTTATACCGTTGGTGTGAAAAAAAAAATGATTACCAAGGCAAGATCGAGGGCATCGTCGTCGTCGGGCGCGAGATCACAAAGCAGGGCGATAGGTGGTGCGGGTGGTGAGCGGGCGGCGAGGGCGGCGGCCAAGGCGCGCCTAAGAGCGGCGCACGCGCGCTCAACGTGTGCGCCGCGTGCCAACCGCTCCCTGGCCAGCCGTAGCTCCGCTCTGGCACAACCAGCCGGCGGAGACCCCCGCGCTCCAGGCCAGCAAGCAGCCGGCGCGGGGAGGGCAGGCGGCTCCACGCGGCGGCCCGACACGCGACGGCACTCGCCCAGCGGTGCGCACGGCGCCCGCAAGCACAGTGCTGGCGCGGCCGGAACGCACACCTGGTCAACGAAAGCATATATGCATCTTGAAAATCAAGACCGTGATGTTTGACATATCTCATCTTATATTGAACTAGAAGGAGAAAATGAACTGAACTAGAAAGGGAGAAAAATTATTAAAGGGGAGTAATAAACAAACTCGATTC